CTGACGATCGCAATGTCATACATGAGGCATTGCATGATGTGACAGAACAAGCACTGGCGGGCAAGGACCTCATTACGTACAGGGTGCGGAGTGTGAATGATGATGTCGTATGTGGTACTCCATTGTGGGATGGAATGTTCATAGCAGCTTTGCATCGCCTCAGCATTGCGACTTCTAAGGTGGACATAAATAGGTCAAGGGAAAAAGGATGAAAGTTGCTGGCCAGGGAAGCAGTTGTTGCACTTCATGCAGCAGATGGACACGCTTCAGCGGGGGAAGAAATTGTGAGAACAGCCTCCATCGTGCGTTCTCCAATAAACACAATGTCGAAGGAGGAGGTAGAAGAAGAAGATGTGTTCAATGACTGGACAATGACAGAACAACAACGGGAACGAGGGTTCGAAGACTCTTCTTTATCGATCGATTTCGAATATGAGATTGAAGAAACAAGAGTGATCAACAATGAAAAAGATGCGAGAGCGCCTAACAATGAGGTGGAAGTGAGTGGCAGCGATATGAGCAGCGACGAGGAGGGTGAGGAATATGATGCCTACTGGGATATGGAAGCAGGGGGAGACAAGCATCAAAAGGGTGGGAACATGCGATTCTAAGGTTGGCACGTGTATTCTCTAATCCCCATTTACTGTTGCGTGTCGTGCTGAAGGAAGCAACACCCGAGGGCGCACTCCAGTATGCAGCATTGACGACTATCATGAGATCATGCTCGAACGGAAAAAGATGGTCACGAATGGAGAATTCATGGTTTGTCTTGGTCAACAGAGAGGCTGTACTCACAACATCACTTACGTGGGGCCTGGACCTTAGTTGCCTCCTGCACGGGGCTGTAGACAGCGGTTCTGGTGCTATATTGCACCCGACACTATCAACAAGAGAGGAAATACTTCGTGCTTGCACATGGCTTGACTGCGCACCAGACACCATGGGGGACAACGGTGATACAAATATTGGTAGTGGACAGCGTTGAATGCAACTGTTCGATGCACAGGCTATGCATATCATGATTAATTCTGCACTGTGCGGTCACGGAGTGCGTGCAATATTTCAGGTGTTCGAGTGCTCGACAAGGGTGTACTCTCTCTCTCTCTCTCTCTCTCTCTCTCTCTCTCTCTCTCTCTCTCTCTCTCTGCGAGGGTACAACA